AAAACCAGGTGGGAAAAAATACGTTTATTTTAACCTTCTTCTAAGTGGCTAACCTGTTTTCACTGCACAGTCAAAATACAAATTCTGAAAAAAGTGATTCAATCCTATTTAAAAAAACAACAGCAAGAGCAGCCAAGAAAAAATCACTTTGATCTAAGTGGCTAATATGCTTTCGCAGTTAGTCAAAATGTAAATTTTGCCAAAGCAAAAAAGATAATTAAATCCCAGTTTAAAAAGAAAATTAAAAGCTACTAGAAAAAATAATATACATTTTAATCTTGGTCTAAGTCAGGGGTCTTCAAACTTGACAGCTTGAAGACTTGAGCACTTCAACTCCCAGAATTCCTCCTCCAGTCATGTTAGCTCGGGAATTCTGGGAGTTGAAGTCCACAAGTTTGAAACTTGACAAGTTTTATCTAAATGGTCTAAATGGTAAATATGCTTTCCGCAGGCAGTTAAGGAAGGCTAGACTGGCGTTTTACCATGAGTGTTCGATATTTTGCAGGTTTGCCTTTTTGGCATTGCTTGGAACACCGAGGAAATGTGCAGAACATTGAGCGTTTCATACTTTGAATGATGTCCCATTTTTGGCATTTTATAGATGTCCTACCCATAAAATGCCTAATTTCACACAATGACAGCAATATGTTTATGCATATGTACGTGATAGATAGATAGATACATAGGTAGGTAGGTAGGTAGATGATAAATGATAACATAGTTAAATATAGATAGATAGGTAAATGATAAGATGGTGGATGGATGGATGGATGGATGGATGGATGGATGGATGGATGGATGGATGGATATATAGATTTTAACCATTCAGCCACGTGCAACTCTTGGCAACTTTATAACCAAGTGTTTTCCATGCTACCTGGCAGTTTCTTTCAGTTGTTGGCTAGCTATTCATCTTTTTATCAGCCAGTGAGTTGGTGTTTGTGTGTGTGTGTATACATTTGTATTTATTTTCTTACATGTATGTTATTCAGCTTTGTTCGGGTATTTTCCCACGTCATTATAGTTGTGCTTTTAAAGTGGTAGCAATGTTTCAGTTGTAGCAACTGTAAAAGTCTGACTCACAGACGAACACAATACAGAAGCCTGATGATGGCAGATGAGATGCTGCCGAAACATTGCTACAACTTTAAAAGCACAACTATAATGACGTGGGAAAATACCCCAACAAAGCTGAATAACATATTTGTATTTATGTATCTATATCCATATACAGTATAGGTACACACAGACACACACACACAAGCATCATTTGCACAAATTCCTTTTTCTAGGCAGTTGCCTTATCCCAGGACTGCCGCTGAGGTTTCATCAGAGCGAGCATTCAGGCACAGAAAGTAAACTGAGCTCACTTGCTTATAATTTGGTTACCACATTACAAAAAGGAGAAGTTGAAAGTTTAGAAAAAGCGGAGAGAAGAGCCACTGAGATTATTAAAGGCCTGGAAGCTGAAAGATACAAAGACCAGTTGCAGGATTTGGATTTGGCTAGTCTAGAGCAAAGAAGGACATGGGGGACATGATAGCAGTCTTCCAACAGTTGAGGGGCTGCCCCAAAGAAGAAGGGAATCAAGCTATTCTCCAAAGCATCAGAAGGCAGGACAAGAAACAAGGGATGGAAACTCATCAAGGAGAGAAGCAACCTGGAACTTAGGAGAAATTTCCTAACAGTGAGAAGAATTAACCAGTGGAACTGCTTGCCTCCAGAAGTTGTGGATGCTCCATCACTGGAGGCTTTTAGAAGAGACTGAACAGCCACTTGACTGAAATGGTACGGGGTCTCCTGCTTGAGCACGGTGTTGGACTAGAAGACCTCTAAGGTCCCTTCCTACTGTATTCTGAAAGGAGATCATACCTTGAGATCCTTCACTTAGGCATATGTATGCAGTGCAGCCATGAACACCAACTAGCGTCAAAATAACAGAAGAGCGCGAAGTTGGAAGGGACCTTGGAGGTCTTCTAGTCCAACCCCCTGACTCAGGCAGGAAACCAACCCTACACCACTTCAGACAAACGGTTCTCCAATCTCTTCTTAAAAACCTCCAAGGATGGCAGATCCACAACTTCTGGAGATGAGCTGCTCCGCTGATCAGGAAATGTCTCCTTAGTTCTAGGTTGCTTCTCTCCTTGATAAGTTTCCGTCCATTGTTTCTTTTCCTGCCTTCAGGGGCTTTGGAGAAGAGGGTGACACACACACACCCCCTCTTCTTTGGGGCAGCCCCTCGTATATCATGTCACCCCCTTTTAAGAAGACATGATGGAAACTCCTTAATTTCACAGACACATTGACAGACTTATCCATAGTTTCAACTGGGAAATGGCGAGCGTCCTAGGCTTAACCAAGTCCCCCCCAAAACGTTCAGTGAATTCCTGGAACCTTGGCATTCAGACAAATCAACAATCACTTAAACCTCTACATACCATTCAAAAGAGACCATCAGAAAGCCAAAAAGGAAACATAAAAGGCCAAAACAGTTCCTCCCCAGCAATCAAGATTCAGATGAGGGGAGATTAAGACCGACAATAACACGCCCGCCCAACAAGCAAGAAACACAAAGGATGTCCCAGTCGGGGGGGAACTCCCAACTCAGAGAAAGAAACAATAAGCAACCAAGATCATTTCCACCAGCACAGACAGGACAAAAGTCACGGAGACCAAATCTCACTCCTGTCTAGCCCTGATGATGTTACCTGGTTGGGTAATGAAATGTCTGCCAGAAAACAGCCAAACTCAAGAGAGCACCGAGGACCTCCCAGCCCTTCTCTAAGGCAACCCCATTCCTTTCCACTACTGAAGAGGTTACCTAGTTTGGTAAAGAAACATCAGGCAGAAAACAACCAAGCTCAGAGAGAACCAAGGGTCCTTCGATCCATCTCTTCTTCTTCCTCCTCCTCCTCCTCCTCCTCCTCCACTCTGCACATTTCACTCCCTTCTTGCAGGAGAGCCTAGAACATTTCAGACCAATGACCGCTGAACCTCATCTTTCAAATCTTCAGAGATCCTGGAGCTCCCACAACTCCTGGAGGCAAACTATCTCACCCTCCTTTTTTTATATTGTGGCGACCCAAAACGGGCTGCGGTATTCCAAAGTGTGCGGCCTGACCAAAGCATTACAACGCGGCGTTAAAACTTCATGTGATCTTGATTTCTGTCCCTCTCTTAATGCAGCCTAGGATTGGAGGCTACAGCACATGTAGTATTTAAGCCATTGTCCCCCTAGGACTCCCAAGATCCCTCTCACAATTACGACGATTGAGGCAGGTGCCTGTATTAATATCACTGGCATTAAAGTTGCTATGGGCACCAGCCATGGGAAGACACGTCTTCCGGTTTTCACCGCTCTGACTGGACTGGCCCATTGCACAAAGTCATGGAAGGGGAAAACTGGCTTATTGAAGAAACTACAGTTGGCTGGCCTTGCATTCTGCAAATCCCATAATGGTTTAGCCTGAGGCTTAAACCCCCATCCTCCTTATCTCTCCCGGCTTGGTTGTTTGCCTTGCCAAGAGGAAATGTGCGATTCAAATGCTCCTCTTCCCACATAAAGGCCTTGAAGTCTTCCGAGGATGAGATTAAATTTCTGGAGGACAGGCTGCAAAACAACAGCCCCATTGCCAGGAATACAGAAAAGACTCGGAGAGAGAGAAAGCAGGAAGTTTGGTCTAATGATCAAGGCACCAGGCTAGAAAGCAGGAGACTCTGAGTTCAAGTCCTGCCTTAGCCAGGGAAAGCCAACTGGGTGACTTTGGACGGGCCCCCCCCCCTCTCTATCAGCCCAACTCACCTCACAGGGTTGTTGTTGTGGGGGGAAATCGAAGAAGGAAAGTGTATTGGATAGTTCCCTTCTTTGAGTTAGTTGCAAAAATAACAAAGGCAAGGTACAAACAAATAAAAAAAGTTGTCCCAAGCTCCAGCTTCGGGCAGGGGGTGGACTAGAAGACCTCGAGGGTCCCTTCCAGCAGATGATTTTTTTACATGCCCTGAGACTATCCCACTTTTGGGGGGTGCCCCGCTTTCAACTCAACCCAACTAGACCCGCCGCCAGCCCAAACTGCACCTCCACTTCCACGGAGGATGGAAACTCCACAGGTATAGACCTCGGCTGCCCCAGCTTGTCCGGCCGGCAGGGAGACATGGGACTTGTAGTCCGACCCAAGGAGAAGGCGCAACGAGGAGAGGACTTTCACCGAGGCATCCAGCCGGCGGAGAAACGCGTCTATCGGATGCCAGGAGCGCCCCGCGCGCCTCCTTCACAGGGACACCCCCAAAAGTGGGCGAACCTCCCCCCGCCCCGAAATGCCAAAACTCCGCCGGGGGGGGGGGGAGAAGGTTGAGCTCCTCCGTCTCCCGCCCCTCCAGCAAAGATGCTCTTAAGAGTAGTTTCGTTTCCTTCCTGCCCATCCAAACCAAACGCGCCCTTTAAATTCCCACCCAGCCATCGGGAGATTTCTCTCTCTCCTCCGCCATCACTGCTAGTGTCTCCCTCCTCCGTGGCCGTGCCAGCTGGGGCTGATGGGAACTGTAGTTTCCCCCAGGGCAACAGGGCGGCTGCGATCGGCCGGATCTGAAAAGAGATGCGTCCCATCCACACACACACCCCCATTCCCCCCCACTCCACCTTCTCCGGGCATCCTGGATCGCTCGGTTCTTTTAGCTCCTCGGGATCGAAGCGGGTCTCTGCCCCCTGCAAGACCCCCCCCACCCCAAGGCGCATCCGCCGATGCCGACCCCCTACTCCTCCCTCGGTCCTCCCACGTGGAGAAGGGGCTCCGATCGGAGCTGTCTCCCCGACCTCCCTTCTTCCACGATCCCATCGCCCCTTCCCCTTTTTCCCCTCCCGTTGCCGCCTGGGCGCCTCTTCCCAACTTTCCCGGAGCAAAAGCGAAGCGGGGCGGAAAGAGAAGCGAAGCGGAGGCGGCTCCTGCCCCTCTCTCCCTTTCTCCCGGGCTGGAGACCCGGCGGTGGCGGACGGCTCTGCTTACCCCGCGGAGCTCCGGGAAGCGACGCGCCAGGTGAGCGATGCGGAGCGGAGCGGAGCGGAGCGGAGCTCTGGCCCCGGCTGACCGGCGAATGGTTTGCAGCGCTGCCCGCCGGTGCGCTTTTTTTTAAGAGGCGGCCCGAGTTTCGTTTTCGGGGCCTGGGCGCGCGGATTGCTCGGAAATTACATCAGGCGCGGCTCCAGGCCGGGAGGAGGAGGAGGAGAGGAGGAGGGGAGGGAGGGAGGGGCGGCCGGCCAGCTGTGCCCGCCCCCTGCTTCGCTCGGCCAGCCTCGCAGCGGCCCCCCCACCCACCCACCCCGCCGCCTCCAGCAGCCCCACTGGGACCCCCTCCCGAAGATCTCCCTCCCCCGCTCCGGGGGGATCGAAAGCGGTACGCGAGGAAGGAAAGACCCAGAAGGGGAGAGGGAGGGGGGGCAGTTTGTTGCTCCCACCCACCCACCCCACGCTTGGCCCAATTGGACCTGCGGGCACCTCCAGCATCCCCCCCACACACACACCTGCGCCCTCTCCCCAAAGATTCCCCCGAGGGGTCCGAAGTGGTGCTGGAGGGGAGGAAAAGAGGGGAAGGAGAAGCGGGGGAGGGGAGGGAGAAAGGGACAGACCATCTGTTGCACACACACACACACACACCCGTCCCCGCTCGGCCCCACCGCCAGCAGCCTCACTGCGACCCCCGAAGACCTCTCCACACACCCCCCCACAGGGGTCTAAAGTGATGGGCGAGGAAGGAAGACCCTGAAAAGGAAGAGGAGGAAGAAGAAGCCAGCCAGTTTTGTCCCCCCTCCCTTCAGTTTTGTCTCCCTCCTGCCTCCATCACCCCCTGCCCCCCCTCCCCGAAGAATCCGAGGGTCCGAAAAGAAAGGGAAGGGCCAGGAGGAGTTGCAGGAGGGGACATCCAGCTGTTTCCCCCCCCCATTGGCCCAGCTGGACCACCTGGGATACCCTCCCGCCCTCCTCCAGCATGTTCTACAACCCCCCCACGCACACGCACCAGAGGTCCAAACTATTGAACAAGGAAGGGAAGAACCAGGAGGAGGAGGGGCGGCGATGCCCCCTTGAACCCCCAACCGGCTCTCCAAAGTGGTGCACATGGAAGGAAAAGGCTAGGAGGAGATGTGGGAGAGGCAGCGGGACCCCCTGCTCAGCTGTGGACCCCTAGTGCCCCTCTTCCTCTTGCATGTCCGGCTCTTCTTCCCCCCCCCCCACAAGCTCCCCTCCCCGCCCCCTCCCTGGCCAGGGGTCCAAAGTGGAAAGGACCTGGAGGAAGAGGGCTGGCCAGCCAGTTATCACCCCTCTTTGCTAAGCTGAACCGGTGGCGCCCCCTCCCCATCTCCAGCATCCCCCTGTGGCCCTCCAGCAGGGCCCCCAAAGGGATGTTCGAGGAAAGGGCCAGGAGGAGGAGGAGGAAGATGTGGGCCTGGACAGAGAGGGGGCGCTCTCTACAGAATAACAAGAGTTGGAAGGGACCTTGGAGGTCTTCTAGTCCAACCCCCCTGCTTAAGCAGGAAACCCTATACCGGTAGTCCTCGACTTGCGACCACAATTGAACCCCAAAACTTTGTTGCCAAGTGAGGCGTGTGTTAAGCGAGTTTTGCCCCGTTTTATGACCTTTCTCGAAACCGTTGTTCAGTGAATCGCTGCAATTGTTAAGTTACGAAGGGGCCTTGGTGGTCTCTGAGCTCGGTTGTTTTCTTGCAGACGTTTCATGACCCAACTAGGTAACATCATCAGTGCCAGAAGGGATTGGGATTTGCAGACTGGAGGAGGAGGAGATGCGGGAAGAGGAGGAGGAGGAGGACTGTGAGGTCCTTGGTGATCTCTGAGCTTACTTGTTTTCTTGGAGACATTTCATGACCCAACTAGGTAACATCATCAGTGCTAGAAAGGAGTGGGGTGTGCAGAGAGGAGAAGTCTGTTCTGGGAGTTGGAAGTCTACCCATCTTCAAGTTGATCGTTCCACTGTCCGGCGGGGGTGTGTGTGTCATGTGATCACCATGTGGCAACTTTCCCAGCCAGCTTCCAACATTTGGGGGGAAGCCAGATCTGCTTAATGACTGCATGATTCACTTTACAACCGTGGCAGAAAAGGTCGTAAAACAGGGGCATAGCTCATTTAACAACTTCCTGGCTTCCCAGCATTGGGCTGAACCTGTATATTTGCACAACCAAACCTTCCACCTCGTTTCATGGCAGCAGGCCTCCCTAGTGGGTAGATTACGGTTTCCACACAACCGTTTGCAAAAATAAAAACTTTGCAGCCCCTTTTCTTCCTACCAACCTTGGTTCCGTCTGTGTCTGTGTGTGTTTGTGAATTTCTGTTTCCATTTCTGCTGGGGTTTTGTTTCGTTTTTTCACTTTCCCTGTTTGGGTGTTCTGTGTTTTGATAAAGAATTTCCTTCTGTTGCCTTGCCAGCTCAGACTAAAGTTATGAAACACCTTAAGGCACCCACAACTGTTTTTTTTGTAACTTTCAGCAACTTCTGCAGCTAAGAGGGAAGGCTGTATCTTCCCGTTCGTTTACACTCCGGTTGCAATCTGTGAATATCACCAGAAAAACAATACAGGTCACCCCTGTATGGGGGTCATTTGTCTACACATTTGTTCCACAACAATCCTGTAAGGTAGACTGGGCTGAGTGTAAGTAACTTGCCCACGGTCACCTAGTAAGTTTGAAGCTAAGTAGTTCCGGTTCTACTTCAAAACGACCAACACAGGCTCTTAAACACTTATCGTGTTGAAGGAATAAATACCTGCATTCCCACATTGCAATAATTTAGACCTTAACCAAAGTTTGTTGAATAAGTCATGATTGGCTAGATTCACAAACAAAATCATAAACCATGGTTTAAAGAACACAAGGATTGGATTCTCACATTTAGCTGGCACATGAACTCACATTTCTGGAGGGGGCTGGTGTCAAACTTTTGAAACTCAAACTCAGGTTACATTTGCAAAGGTTGATTAACCAGGTTCATTGAAAACTAGTGATTTCTTTTGTAGGAGACAGAACCTTGTGCTGTTTTCAAACAAGCCACATATGGCAATTCAGACAAAGAGGCGAAGAAAGCCAACTTTTTTTCTCTTTCAAGACTAAACCTACAACAATGTTTCTTTTTCTCAAAGGAGAAACTAGTCACTATGGGATCAAACTATTATTTCCTGACCTGGTTGCATAAGGAGAGCTCTAAAAAAATCAGGACTGATTATTTGCTTGAGATCACAAAGGTTCAAATATATTCCACATTTCCCTGGATGGATTTTCTTTCTAATTTTGGTTTCATTTGCTAGCAAAGGGAAAACCCAACAAATTAGGTTGGTTTCTGTTCGTCATAGTTGTTCCTCTCTGTGTCATCCTCACCATTTCCACTCAGGGCAGACAATTTGACAAGAGAATTTCAGATTTATTTATTTTATATCCCGCCTTGATTGTTTTTATAAATAACTCAAGGCAGAGAATTTATCTAATACCCCTTCCTTCTATTGTCCCCACAACCTTAGGAGGTGCGATGGGGCTAAGAGAGCGGGTTGGCCCAAAATCTTGCTTTCATGCCTAAAGTGAAATGAGAATTCACAGTCTCCTGATGATTGGCCCAAAGTAACCCAGTCTGCTTTCATGCCTAAGGTGGGACTAGAACTTACCATCTCCTGGTGATGGACCCAAAGTAACCCAGGTATTTTTCATGTTTAAGGCGGGACTAGAACTCACCGTCTCCCGGTGATTGTTCCAAAGTCACCCAGCCATCTTTCATGCCTAAGGCGGGACTAGAACTC